CTCGCCTCCTTACTCCCTCTACGAAAACACTTCACTCTAATTCTCTTACCGGCCTCGGTGACATTATTTTTACCAGTTCCCTCCTTACCTAGGATACATACACACGTGCTCACATACACACAGTCTTGCGATGTTTGCCAGTGGTTAATATATATAATATATAAATAATCCTATGTATACAAGTAGACATGTGCATTGTTCTCCCATTGGCTAATAGACATGAACACACACATGTATATGTATATATGTATATGTGCACACACCCAGTCTTGCACTGTTTGCTAATTGTTTTGCATTTCTCCATTTGGCCCCTCAAACTTCTTTTATTTAGGAAATAGACCTTTTGTTCTTTATAAGTAAGCTTCACATTCTCTAATGTAGGCCATACCATTAATAAATATGTGATGGTCAACTCATTCATCATGCTCAAAATATTTATTGAGCACTTAACTTTCTACTGTTTTCTAAGACAATTCTAGGAAAACGTCAGTGAACAAGACAAGCAGGTTCCAAGCTCCCAAAATGCTCACAGTCCATGGAATAACCAAGATTGCTTTTAACTTCATGATAAATACAGAATGTATGCCCATTTTAGAAAGAAATAGAATATAACTGAAAGTTTAAAGAAGAAATGTAAAATCTCTATTTCCACCAGAATGATCAATATCTGGAAAGCTTTTAGCCAGCATCCCTTTGGCAGCATATAGAGGACACCTTATAGACAACTGACAGGACACTGCTCCCCACTTCTTGACTTGTAAATGCTCCGAGCATCAGACCTTGTGGAGAGTTCAAGCAGCCGCCCAACGTGAGCGCTGGCTACAGCTGGGAGCCTTCCCTGCCCATTAGCAAAGGCGGGCTTCAGAACATACTACGAGTAATGACCTAGAGATAACTACCTTCTCACTCACCTCGTTCCAAAGAACCCCAAGTAGCTGTGTTCCTAAGTAGCAGACGAGTGCATGAAAGACGCCCATTAAAGCAGGCGTTAAAATAAAGCAGGGGCAAGGCGGCCCACAGAGACCCAGAAGGGGCAGTGGACTATTTAAACTAACCCCATGCCACCCACCTCTACACAGGGCCATGCTGTAAAAATAGCCCTTTATTCTCCTCTTCAAACAAAGCACAAAGGCTGCACAGGGAAGGAAGTTATGTTGCAATATTCTGAAACATAAATCTTGCTCCCAGCCAGTCCAGGGACAGTATCCTGTTTTCCTGACACATGGATCAGATTCACTGGAGGCCACGCTGATAGGCCTTGTGTCCTGTTTTTCTAAGTGGCTTCTGAATCATACCTGGTTACCTGCATTTGCACATCCAAACACAGGTTGTGCAAGCAGGGAGCGCTGTTTGTGTGTTCAGTTACCCAACCAACGTGTACAATTGCGTGTTGTCACACCTTGGTCCCTCTCAGGAATTCACTCTTTCCCAAATTGTGACATTCGATTCCATCCTTGTTTAACTCCCAAAGTTACTTAAAAATTCAACTTAGACTCAAAAACCCTTTGAGACAGCATGGAGGGGCCTAGAGAGTATGTATTATGCTAAGTGAAATAAGCCAGTCACAAAAGACAAGTATCACATGATCTCACTCATGTGTGGAATCTAATAAACAAAATAAACTGAAGAGCAAAACAGACCCGTGGAAGCATGGAACAGATTGATGAAGCTCAGAGGTAAGGGGGGACAGGAAGACATTAACCAAAGAATATATGCATAAATGCATAGCCCATGGACACAGACAATAGAGTGGTGAAGGCCTGGGGGTGAGGGGCAGGGCTGGGGTGGAAGGGGTCACTGGGGGGGAGGGACATCTGTAATACCTTCAACAATGAAAGTCAATTAAATTTTTAAAAAAGCATAGAATAGGCCAAAGGAAGAAATCCCTATTTACTCCGAGTTTTAACATCCTGTGACCCTCTCTGTAGCTCTAAACACCCCTTCCTTTCTGCTTTGGTCCGACATCAGAAGCCCTGTGTCCCATTTCCAGGGGTGTCATCTGTGAATCAGGGAAAAGGGTCTAACTCTCCCTGCCTCATTTTATTCTCGGAATCTGAAGTAGGTAATGCTTGTTATTGGCAGACCAGAGGTGGCAGAGACCGTGACTGTTTTTGGCTTGCTCAAGTACAAGGCCTTCACAAATGTGATGAGGCAGGGTTTTGGGAGCTGGAAGGAAGGGAGCACAGGTTGAAGTCCACGGTGGGAGGTTTAAAGGCACAGGCTCTGGGAACGAACTTCATGGAACATGCAGCTCTGGTAGAGGTAACACAAAGCCGCGGCCACGCAAGGGTTACTTTGCCGCGTATGGACCTTCGTCGCAGGGGAAGACACAATTTTAGAATTCCACCTAAGCTCGCCATGCACTGTTTTTCCTCCGTTACAGATAGAGATGCCTGAGTTTAGCACTAGAGGGCAAAGAGTAGAGGCATCCAGGCTGTACACAAATGCATGGGGAGTGCTGCTGTTTGCTGCAGTGTTGTCACATAACCCTTCGCACAGGCCAAGAAGAATGGGTCCTGTGACATCAGAGAAAAGTTCTAGGGGATTTGTCTAAACAGTCACTTTTGCTGTCTGTCACTAGAAGAATTCCTGACATATCAATCCCAAGGTCCCGGGCATTCTGATTATTTTGTATGGTTTCTGATTCTTCGTACCCTATCCCTTAACTATGTGTTCTCTCAGAAATCTGACCAATTCATCTTCGGTGTTACATGGAGGGGACTTTCAATGACTGTTTCTTTGTTTTTTTATGCAGGGTTTCTCAACTTTAGCAACGTTGTCATTTGCAGCCAAATAGATTTTGTTGTGGGGGCTGTTCTGTGCATTGTAGACTAGTTAGCAGCATCCCTGGTCTCTACCCAGCAAATGCCAGTAGCACCCCTGCCCCCAGTGCCAACAATGAAACACATCTCCAGACATTGCTAAATGTCCCCTCGGGAGCAAAACTGCCTTCAGTTGAGAACCACTGGCTTAAAATGACCTAGTGATAGATTAGAATAAATGAACCTGTGTCTTAGAGCATTGAAAACAATTCTATCAGTGGTACAAAGTTATATAGGGAAACAGAAAAGAATGTCTTTGTGTAGATTAAGCATCTATAGATAACAACCTAGTCACTGAACCAAGTCTCCCCAGGTGTAAATGGGGATTGCCTGGCGCAGGGGCTACAACATGAAATATGGGGCCACAAGGTCAGGGAGAAAGTTGTCTTTTTTGAAAGCAGCCCACCAGGGAGGTACCGACTACCACACCATCTCCCCCCGACCCATCGCCTGTTATTTATTCCCCAACCATCGTCTACAAAATGCATGGCATTCGCCCAAAATGGAATAGCCGATTTTCAGATAAGAGGTCTATAGAGATGGACATTTCCAAAAGTCCTGTTTATTTAATGCAGCATGACTTCAAATGGGCCTGTAACTTGACAAGTGTACGGAATGAGGAATGTTCAATATACCAGTTCTAACCAGCCACGTCCTCGCGTGAACTTTCTAAGACCCGGCTGAGAAGCCTGGGAAAGTGTGACTAACCGCAAACCTGCAGCATTTCCTGCACCGCATTCCCCCTCCCAGCCCCGCCTCCGGCACCGGCACCGTAAGGCCTCTCCTTGGACCCACGACAGGCCCCAGGCGTGTCACAAAACCGGGGCCGTCGGCAGAACCTACAGCCACCTCAGCTGCCCAGCTCTCCCTGCTCATGTCAACCAACACTGAGAGGAAAGATTCTGTTCTATTTTTAAATATATTGAGCAAAGAAGCAGCTTGATATGTCTTTGTAAAGGATGGCTGTCACCCAAATTCACTGTTACTCTATTTTTATAAATGATATCGACTTCGAAGTCAGATAAATTGGGGGTTCAAATCCCAGGTCTTTATTTGTCAACTGTGTGATCTGAAGAAATCCCTTCCCCTCCCTGAGCCTCGGTGTCTGCAGATGTAAAGTGGGGATGTAACGGCTGTGGTGGGGGATGAGTGAGATGACACACAGGGAGCACGCGTGTTCCCAGTGCCGGCCACTGTGTGTACTCCTGTTGTTATGAACATGACTACATCCGCCACTCGCTCCTGATCCAACCAGCGCTTCTACGTGCCGGTGGCTGGAAACACTCGGCAAACATTGTCAAATGGGCTTTCCCAGTGACTCCACTTCTCAACCAAGTGACACGGAAGTACAAGAAATGCCTCTGCTGGTGGATCAAAAGTACGTTCTAAGTGCTTTGTGTGGAGCCTGGCACATAGTAGGCAGAACATGTTAGCTGGTGATGGTGGTGCTGGCGGTGGTGAGGCTGGAAATTAGTGGATTTGGTAACTTTTTTTCAGTTCACTTGCCAGAGTACTCAGTGTTTGTCCCTATACGAAACCATTTATTCTTGAGTAAATGAGTACCGATCACGTGAGAAAGTACTCTTTTCCCTCAAAGTAACACTCTAATAAGGTAGATCAATATTTTTTTATTATAGGGTAGGCTTATAATAAGCGTATAGAGCCTGGGAGATAACTTCCACAACTGAAAGGTAAATAAATTTTGACTAATTTATAAGTAAATGTTAGAGCAGTTGGGTTTGAAGTTTCCAAACTATATAGAAAACAGAGAGATGGATCAAAAATATAATAACAAATTGCTCACCTTCTTTGTGAAACAAATAAAGGTAGATATCTAACGTTAATTTTTATTAGGCCCCATTTTCTGTGGGAAATAGGGATAAACAGGTTTAGACTTTTGTTCTTCTTTGTCACTAGTTCTTTCACAATCCCTTAGTATTTCAACATAGTTTAATGCACTCTGTTGTGGGTCCTTAGCCCCTTAATTCTAAAAAAAAAAAAAAATCCGTGTGTTTTCCAAACACTGTTTTTCACAAAATAGGAAGTGCTGAACTGTGATAAAAAGTCTTTTGAGGACAGCAAAGTAAGAAGCCATTATGCTTTCAGGCCAATAGTCATGTTTGTCTGGTCCAGGCCAAGTTCAATGGGAAATTAATTTTCACCAAGGGGTGTCCTTACCTCAAATATGTTTGAAGGTTCATTGTTGTACTGGTTGGATATTATTTCTGATTGGTCACTGCACCACTTGAGTCCACCCAGAAAGCTGTCTGTATCCAAGTCGTTCACGTCTAGTTCAGAAAGGTCAAGTTCAGGAAGATCTGGGCAAAGAGGCTGGTCTTCACCAACCAGAGCAGCACACTGCGGGAGGCAGGAGGAAAAAAAAAGCTTTCATTAACTTCAGGAATTTATTAAACTGCAATAGCATGTGACAGGAATTAAGCCTGGTTAATGCAACGACACCACCAAAGCTGGTTTCCAGGGTTTTTCAGTCACTAGAAACAACATCTTAAATTCTTTAAAGCACTTTGCTTCCAAAGGATACTTTGCCTGATCCATTCCACCCAAAATTCTACCTCCAAATCCATGTTTCCTTGAAGCCTTCTCTGACTTGTCTAGTTGGAAGTCTGCTAGATTTGTTTCTTGCCTCTTTGATAGTCAGCACTTACCGAGTTTCAAATTGTTTTCTGTTTAACCACATGCAAAATTTCACTCTACCCTTAGAGTATAATCCCTTTGAGGGAGGGAGACAAATTTGATTTTACCTTGGAACTGACATCATCCATAACAAACACTAAATAAACAACTGCTAAATGAAAACTAGAACCTAAGAAGTCTACTAGGAAAACCTTCTCCATTTACGCTCCTTTTCACCATTTTCATCCATATAATTCATTTAGCAACTAATGATGCAAAGTCCTCTAACTTGTCCACGGTTCTCTTGAATTGTGATTTAAATCTTTTAGTCTCACTTGACTTTTCATGAACTTATGAACTTGATCTCAACCAGGTCAAACTCTAGCTCTTTGTGGTAAAGAACAAAAATAATATTTTTTTCTAAATAACCTTTACATCTTTCACTATATCTAACACACAAGTTAGATATTGTGTGTGTGTGTGTGTGTGTGTGTGTGTGTGTGTGTGTGTGTGTATGAGATTGGGATCACCTGACATCTGGAAAGAAAAATCACTATAGCATATCACAACTATATTTTTAAATTATTTATGTATTCCTAAACTATAAGTGAATTCAAAATAAATTTTCTTCAGTGTTTTAAAGATGATTTTGATATATTGATAGGTTTACAATATGCTGTATTGTGGCTGCGCTGCTTGTCACCAAGGCTATCTTAGACATAGTCTTTCACCTTCTTGCATGAAGTAGGTGGCCTTTTAACTGCTCCTCACTGTGGCTTTTTGAGGAAAGGGGACCCCTTACCAAAGAGGTCATCTTCTAATCTCAAACTGGCTGTCTGACTGCTGATTCCCCACTGCATACTGTGAAGAACCCCACAGAAACTTCCTACTGCAGGGATCTCGTGATACCTGAGACATGGGATTTTACCCACCCACAACGCCAAGGTGTCTAAACCACCAGGCGCCCACTCTGCAGTGGCACCCTCGTGGCCCTGCCTTCGGGGTCAAGAGAGATGCTGGGGAGTTGTTCACATCCAGGCAGCAGTTGGGCATCAAGCTGAAGATCCTGCTTGACATTTAGATTTTAAATAAAATAAGTTTTCTGCAGATACCGCTCTCCAGCACCCCTGTCATCCCTGGCAGGCGACATCACATGGGTCACATGCAGCAGTGTGATCCGAGCTCCACGCTGGGAGGCAGCTCCCGGGTAATGGAGTCAGCAGTGGGCAGGGGAGGCTGGGAGGTGCCTGCAAATCGCTGCAGTTCTTGCCTAAGACCACCAGGCCCAGTGAGATCCTCAATGGCAGGCACAGCGCCAATGCAGAGAAAGGGCCCTCCTCCCCATCAAACTCTTTCCTTATCATTTCATTCGTCTTTCCTTTTGCACTAGCCAAGTCAGGCCAAAGCTACAGATCAGTGTACTCGAGTAGGTTTATAAGTAAGGGGGGGCTGGGCTGAAGAGATTTCATTCTGGCGCGACGTTCGCGGCCCGTTTTGGGTGTAACATTCCCAGTCTCGGTTCTGCCCGCACTGCTTTTAACCTCTAAGCACAAACACACCGCCTTAACTCTCCCGCACCACGACCCATTCGGAGACGAGGGGATAACTTTTGCAGTGGCACGAGGATTACTAGGAGTGCGTCGAGGAACAGCCCTTAAAAAACCACACACACACATCAACAACAAAGCAGCAACAACAGAAATCAAAGTTAGGAAACGCCAGACCTCTACATCTGGCTCACGTTCCTGCAGTGCAGAGCGTGACTCAGAGACCTGCTTTGGTGCGCGGAGGTGTCCCAGCAACCCACCAACGGCGGGCCCACTTCTGCGGCCTCTCCCTTTAACTGCCCTCCCCAGGCACGGCCAGTTCAAAGCCCTTTAACCTTTCCTACATATGCATTTGTGCGGAACTTTTGAAAACCACTAAGAAGATCAGATCGATTTTTCTGTGTATGTATTTGCTGTCATTCACCTACTTCTTCCCTTCCCTTCCCTCTCTCTCTCATTTTCACGTTGATGCCATGGCTGAAAACTGAGTCAGTGCTTTTGCCACTGTTGACATGCTCGTAAAATCAGTGCTTCTGAATGTGGCATTCTCCTGATAATCTAAAACACATTAGTGGGAGCAAGTGTTCCTGCTCTTCATTTATATTTGGTCTTTGGATGATGCCAAGCCTACCCGGCTGGGCCCTGTAGCTGTCCTCATCTGCCACGCTGATATTTACTGCTTCCCTATACATCTGTAACAGGTGTGTTTTATTACAGTGACAGACCCACATTCTCCTGGCTCTCTGCAGCTATGACAGCCATTTCACTAGCGTAGCCTGGATTTTATAATAAGATTTAAGGGGATAAAGCAGTTACTAAACACAAAAGGCTAATTATTGTACGTTCTTTCACCCCAACAGACTTTTCTCTTAGTTAAGGAGCAGACAATAAATTAGCTTAACTGCACTGATGATAATGAATCATTACAATTAAGTATAATTCTCCATTAACCTTTCAGAGGTTTTTGTGCCATTGATGGTAAATTTTAAAGAGAGAGAGAAGAAAGAGTGGACTTGGCCACATTAATTATATTAATGAAAAAAAGAATCACACTTCTTAGAAAAAAATTAGTCAAGACGGGGGCAGGGGGCAGGGCGAGGGGCAGTTCAGGATGACAGTCTTCTCGGAGTGTCCGTCACGTGAACCGTCTCTATCAGTCTTAGGAACCTTACTGCACGTCACCTCCGTCCTAAACCGTGAAGCACCGGGGACTCCGAGGGGCTGTAGTGACACGGGCCTTTATTAACTAACGCGCTGTCCTGTCATTATGGGCAAAAGGGCACCGTATGTTTTAGGATGACAGCAAACATTAATGAGTCAAAAAATGAAAGCCGCCCACGCGACCTGCTGCTCGTAATATTTTAGGCTGGCGGAGGCGATTCCCAGAGCCGCCGCGGCCAGGCAGGGCTTCCAGCAGCTCGTGGCTTCCCGTGCGACAGACAAGCAACGGGCCAGCCTCGGCCGCCCGGCAGCTCAATCCCCGGCTGGGCGAGCAGCCTGAGACCTCACCTCCTCGGGACAAAACCGAAAGGGCCACTGTCCTGAATCGTCCTGACGCTGATTTAAAATGACTCCAGCAATCCCAATGATTAAAGTCAAGCCACCGTATTTCCACCTGATCTAGTTTCTCCACCAACTCCCAGCAGCATCAGGAATAATACTTGATGAAAAAATGAAAGTACAGCAGCTGAGACCCACACCGCCAGCCACGCAACCACCCACAGGACATGCCAGCCGCTCGAAGACAATTAGGACTTTGGAGCCACTTACAACCCTGACTCATAACAGCCACAGGACGTAGGAATGATCCATATCTATCCCACTTTCCCAAGAAATCACAACAAGATAAGAACCATTAAAATCCACAAACAGGACCTGCCACGGCAAGGAGCCCACATCTGCAAACCCAGCAAAGAGTTAAGAATCCAGGGCATGCCTGGCTAGATAGGAAAAATGCCCTCGCAGCTGGCCTGGGCCAAATTATTTTCACTTTAGATGAGTATCGCTGCGCCACAGGAACATCTTATTTAATCAAATCACGTGTGGCTCTCGACCCTCCCCCTTACCCTACGTGCCCCCAGCTACCCAGAGGAAGCACTCGCAGTCCTTTGCCAGATTCATTGTTCGCAGCTCCGAGCCTCCGCGCACTTCAATTCGGTTCCATGTCACCAGAGTCCACAGAAAGTTTCACTTGTTTCCCAAGTTGCCCAAACTTTCCGAGAACACTGCATCGTGCGGAATGCAAACACGCCAGGTCCTCGCACCCCCGCCAGTCACTCCAGACTCCAGAGATGACGATGGAAACGCTTGCTTTTCCCCGGTATGAATTGTAGCCAGCAGAGACTGTGGAATTGATGTATTGCCGTCTATTTTTACACAAGCGGCGAGCAGCTCCACACACAGTCCTGCATAAACTCTATTCTCTCTCCGGCTTCAGGCAGCTCTCCGAGGTACAGCGAGATTTAACCGTTGGCTTCCCTGCCACCAGCGTGAATGGAAAACCTTGCACCTTACTTTTTTTTTTTTTTTCTATTTGCTGGCCAAATCTTTCAACTGCACGGAGGAGTTTTAAAGGAATCAGCGTCGTTGTTTTGTGTTCTGTAAGAAAAGCGATCTAAAATAGCCCAGCAGGATTATTTGGGATTTTTGAGTTCTCTGTCTGATGAACACAGAGACATGAGAAAAAAAAAAAAAAATTCCACACTGGAGTCAAAACTGGCTCTATTTGAGAACATCCATTTTAATATTTTTATCTTCATCTTTTTATAAATAGAAATGGCATTTTTCCAACCAGGCCACTAAATACCACTGGAAAGACTTCAGCTCCTGATTCATATCAATATCTTAGAGCATAAATATTGCATATGAGTAGAAACAGAGCCAAAGGCACATGGAAAGAGTTTCCAACTGCAACAGATACGGATGACAGCAGCTAAGCTTTGATTTGCTCATGGCATCCCAGAGCCACCTTAAAATAGCAAACTTATTGGAGTTAAGATAAGATTAAGATTCCTTTCTCAAAGCTCCCGCCCGGGCTACTTTTCTCCCACCTCTCCTCGCCCCAGCCCTTCCCCCCTTACAGGAATAATTGCATCCCGAGGAAACCTTCAGTCCTGGCTGCAGTGCCGAGCCCAGCCCCAGCTCACCTCGATGTCACTCCATACAGAGTCCTGGTTG